TTTTTCCGAGGTCGTCATTTAGGAACGTGGTGGGTAGCCGAAAACGTAATATGTTGACGATTTGTCACCTAGCGTAAAATGTTACGCTTTGGGAGTGAGAACGGGTTGTACAGGTACACTGATATCATACAAACAGGTAACAGATGTGTCTTAATTGGCATTGCTCATATTGGGAGGACACATCATAAATATGCCACCATGATTTAAGTTTTAGCAAGTAATTTTAGTAAGTAAAGTCAGCAGAAAATGAATGTAAATTCGATGTCGTTCACGAGCTGACACCTGAGCTGGCATACAGATGCACTTCTCATGTACACATGTAGTTTGCATGGTGGTGAACTTGGAGTCACCACAACATATGCTCAGTGGGAATTTAATGGCCATAAATCACTGAGTTTCCCACCACCTGTTACAAAGTGTGGCAGCATGGAGAGCAGCGGCATTGTTAGTCAAATGAATGACTGCTGGGCGACTAAAAAATGTCTTTGTTGTACTCTGAATTATATCAGGAAGTCGTAGGCAGGGATGGAAACATGAGGCAACCAGAGCTGTGAAAAACCAGAGATTACTGTAAAAAAGAACTTTTACTGGACGTTCAAATGAGTAAGGTTTCTAACCATTGTGTTTAGCTTATGATAAGATGATTGATGATGATCAATACGCTGTCACCAAATATCACTATTATATTAAAACAAGCATTCCCTCTACACAGAATCACCCAGCCAGTTTGATTTGCCAATACTTGATGACTCCTCCAATAGAAGATTGTGTCAAATGAGTGAAGAGGGTAAAGTGCATAACCCAACTGAATAATGAACAGTGTTTCTTTATGAAGTCTGAACATCCATCCATTCTCTTTAGCGTGTCCTTATCAGGGTTGCAAGGGGTAGTCTTAAAGGCTGAACACCTCAAGGTAATTATGCTGAGACTGAAAAGAAAGCTCTTTCTTTCATTCGTCCATCAAGCCTTGGAACAAGAAATCTTTTCACTTTTTTCATAAGTCACTAAAGTCCCATCAGTCTTTGTTGGTACTTTAATCACAAAGAGGTTCTGCAGGTCTTGCAAAGGTCATCTCCTACCATTGGATGGCTTTTCACAGAACTGACATTTGGGAGGAAAACACAGTTTTTTATAGCGCTAATCAGTGCCCGGGTTGCAGAAACAGTCTTCTGTGTACCTGAGAGAATGAAAGTGAGAAAAATCTCCAGGGCTGCTAATAAATTCCAACCATTTCACATAAAGAGATGTGTAAATGTTTCTTGCCATTATGTCTTCTTGCTGAATAATAATGTCCCTGCCATAATGGGCCTTAATCAGGGAAACAGATGAGGACCAAGGTAGAGTGAAAAAAGGTAGCCATAACAACGGTATTAAAATTCCTTCCACCGGTTTCTTTGTGAATTTTAGACAGTGAACATGTCACCTTAATGTTGCTCTCATCTTGTTCTCTTCTCTTTTATTTGACATGCTGTAAGGACACAGATAATAATTCCTTCCATTCAAAGTGCTGTTAGTTGGTTGATAACAATTAGAGCTGAAATATGCAATACTATGTCTTATTGAAACATGTGCGAGCGTACATGGAAATACAGTATTTAAGTATATGGATATATAAATATTTGAACGTAAAACAGAGTATGTATGATTGTAATGAACTTAAAGGTCAATATTTGGTATGACCACCTTTATTCTTCAACACAGCCTGAACTCTCTTGTTCAGCTTTCTTCTAATTTCTTTAGGTTGTCTTCAGGAATAGTTCTCCAGCCTTCTTGAAGGACATTCAAAGCTTTTCTTTGGATGTTGGCTGCCTTTTGTTCTGTTTTATGTCAGGATGATCCCACATTGTTTCAGTAATGTTGAGGTCCAGGCTCTGGGGAGACCAATCCATGACTGGCAGTGTTACATTATGTGATTTTCTATCCATTTATGCTTTTACTCCATTTTCACTGTGATCTCCAACACCACTGGCTGACATTCAGCCTCAGTCCATGACAGAGCCTCCACCGTGTTTTACAGATGGCTGTACTCACTGATGTCCCCTCCTGACCTCCTCTCTTCTATCTTCCACTTGTCCATTTTTTTCAAATTGCACACCATGCTAAGATGTGCCAAGCTTTCAGCTAACTGCTCTTTTGGAATCATGGTGTTGGTAAAATAATTCTACTTTATGCTTGTCAAACTGTGTCATCTTTAACATTTTTCATAGATTCCTTTAAAGAAATTGGAACAAATTACATATCGTTTCTGTCATGACTGTGAGCAGGCAGGCAGGAACGGTGAACACAAGAGCAGGACTCGCAGAGGCAAAAGTGAACTTAAACAACTCAGCTTTATTGCTGGACAGCGGGGAAAACAGGGAAAGTAACTAAACTAAACAGGCAGACGGAACACACAGTGGGGAATGAGGGACAGCACGAATGGAAACAAAATATAACGACATGAGATGTAGCAAGAGATATGCACGGTATTTTAATATAATATGGTGCACTAAAAAGTATTTGCCCTCCTCCTGATTTGTTTTTTTAAATTTTTTGTTTTTGCATTTTTGTTCCACACATTTCAGATCATCAAGCAAATTCAGATATTCAGACATAGATTCTGATATAGACAAAGACAACCTGAGTAAATACAAAATGCAGCCTTTATTAAATGATGAATTCAATCCTGTTTGAAAAAGTAACTGCCCACTAAACCTAATAACTGGGCGTGCCACCCTTGGTCGCGAGAACTGCAGTTAAGTATTTTAGATAACTGGCAATTAGTCTTTTGGAGGAATTTGACCCACTCATCTTTGCAGAATTATTTTAATTCATCCACACTGGAGTGTTTTTGATCATGAATGGCCTCTTTTGGGGCTTTTTTAAGCCACTCCGAGTTGGACTTGCCGTTTGTGGATCATTGTCGTGCAGACAGCAGAATTCATGGTTTCATCGCTCTGTTCATCAACAAAAGCAAGCAGCCCCAGACCATCACACAACACCACCATGTTTGACTTGGTGCAAACTGCAAATAAAAGACCCCACAAGAATTGATTGTTGCTTTTCATCAGTGCTTTCCAGTTCACCAACGTGTACAATTAAACAGCAAACTGAGGGGTAGAAGGAACTGTCTGAATGCAGTCCAGTTGAGGCTCTTTTTTTTTTTTTTTGTTAGAATTTTTAATGCTGCTATTAACAGATTTCACTTATCTGCAGCTTAGACTCAGAAATGCCATTACTGTCAAATTAGACCTTTATAATAGCTTTTCACACTGGAAGCACTTTAACATAAAGGTGAAGGCCAGTCCTTTGGTAATTTATGTGGGCTTTGCTGCATTTATGCCTGCTCTTGGTGAATTTGATGCAATGGAATGAAATTTATTACTTTTTTATTCTTTATTTATTTGTTAGGTTGCTTTTTAAAGACTTTTAAGAGGCAGAGAATGAGTAATTAATGCAGTAAGATTTAGCTCCAAGATTTAGCTTTAAAAATATATATATAAGTGATCAGAAAAAGCTTATAGGTTTAAACATTAAAAAAAACCTTCTGTCTTCTTTGAGTCTTTTTTAACACTGTGTTATAATTTTCTGTTGTTTCTCTCAAGTATAAATATTTAAATATGAACTCACTTTACCACCACACAAATGGATAAACATCATTAAAGGTTTGCAAAGATATTTATTGGTCTCGGAAGGGTAAAAATATACTGTAATGAGTCCTGTAACTCTGTCTGCAAAATACAGTATATAATGAGCAATGTTGGGCAATTAATTATATAGTTACTTCTTCAAAAAAGTAACTGAGTTATGCAAACAACAAAGGTTTTTTTTGTTTGTTTTTTTTTGTTTTGTTTTTGCCTGTCCCGTTTGGCTCTTTTGCCATCAGAATTATTGTCTAAAGGCAAAGAAAGATGCCCAACAGATTTACTTTACCAAATTGACCATCCCAGCCTTGCCATAATGGTCTATTTGATTCACCTTTTATTTTATTTTTTTATTTTTTTTTATTTTCACTTGCTAGATATGGGACAGACTTAAATGAGGAAAAGAAAAGGGAGAAAGGAAGAAGGGGAAAAACAGCAGAGAAGAGGGACGGGGATAAAGGGCAAAAAAACAAAAACCAACTAAATAAGCAGACAAAAAAATAAATAAATAAATAAAATAAAAAAAATGCATATATCGATCACCTGGATCACCTGTTGAGAAAGAAAAAAGAAAACAAGCAGAAGAAAACGAGAGCAATACAATAAAGAACATCATGATGATATATGGGAATATGACGGTAAATACTAAATATTAAACATTATTGTGCAGCACATAAGATCAACAGAACACAGTGCGCTTTGAGGTAGGAGCCAAAAAGGGTGTAGTTTGTATGTGTGATCACCCATGTGTACACCTGTGAGCATGGACGCGCTAGTTTTTTTTTTTTTTAAAAGGTTCCTTCATGTAATAATCTGCTAGAGGGTGTGGGGGGGCCACAGCCCCGTCCTCCAGGGCGTGAAGCAGGTGTGGAGGAGATCAAGACTCCAGACATCCAGAGGCCCCCAGAACACAAGAGACCAAGGAAGACCAACAGAG